CCGGGAAGCCCGGGCGGGCGGGGAGAATCTGCCGTCGCTAGCACGGGGCTCTGGCTGCAGGGGGCTTCCCCTTGAGCGTTTGAGCCTCGCCGCTGGCATCAGCCTCCTCGGCCTCAGGTGCCCTCTCCTGAGCATCCGCTTCTTGGCCTTTCCCTGCATCCCGAGCAGTGGGGAGGGCCAAGTGCCCAGAGTGAGTACCAGGGACCAGGGCCGAGGCCGAGCACGTATTTCTTTTCGTTTTTTTTTGTTTTTGTTTCAAATATTTATTTATTAATTTATTACATCTATTTGTTGCAATTTTCAAGCTGCTTGATCTGGGTCTCAAACTGCAGTTGGCCAGGTGGGAATCCACCGCCTTAACCATCACACCACCTACTGTGCCCTATTCTTGTTATTTTTTAAAATTTTGCCAGAGGGTGTACATGCCCCGCAGAGAGAGACAGAGGGAGAGTGAGGAAGCCCTCCATGGGTCATGGTCACGCTGCCGTCTCTTTATTCCTCGACCCGGTTGGGATCGGGGCACACACACGGCACACATATGCATCCAATGTATTTTTTCTTTTCTTCTTTTTTGCTGTAGGGTGTGTGCTCTCACCACCAGTGAGACAGAGAAACAAAGTGAGAAATCATCCATGGGGGTGGTATGAGCGGGGCAGGAATGTCCACGCCACAATCCCTTCTCCATTCTCCCCTCAGGATCTTGGGCACGCACACACACATGCCTGGCATGAGTTTCAAGGCACCAGGTCTGGGACTCAAATCACAGTTGACTACGTGGGAGTCCAGTGATGTAGCCATTACGCCATCTGCTGGTCTCCACCCAATGTATTTCTCCAGCTGCCAGAGCCCATGCATTGGGCCATGTGGGCTTCGGCTTCTTTAACCACCAGACCCCAGAAGCAGCCCTGCATTTCTTACATAGTATATTCCAGTAGCACAGAAAGGGCCAGGTGCCCTGCAAACACAGCGGTCGTTTTACGGGCACTTACAGGCACTAAGAAGTAGGGAAGTCCCCATGGAGAGCCCGCCACACCCGGGGTTGGCCTCGCCAGTCACCGCTGAGCCCTGTGGGGAGCCCACCACACCTGTGGTTGGCCTCACCAGTCACCGCTGAGCCATCAGAAGGTTCCTGCCCTGGCCCAGCCTCCGTGACATTATGTAAGCCACCTGCCTTCTCTCAGTCCCTGTTAAAATGAATGTTAGAAGGCCAGCCGGCCTTGTGATCATTACGACACTGGATCCTGGTGAGCAACTGCACAGTTTGAGTCCTGGCCCTGGCAAACAAAAAACATGTTGGGTGTGTGTGCATGCATGCCCAAAATCCCAAGAGGAGAAAGGATTGCAGCAGTACTACACACTCGGGGGGATTTCTCACCTCCTCCTCTCTGTTTCTGAGAAGCTTCTGTGTCCTCTAACAAACTTAAAAAAAAAAAAAAAAGATGCGTTGGAACTCCAGGACCTCTTTCAGCTCTGTAATCCTTAGGGCATTCCTCTGTAACCTACTGCTGGTCTCTCTGGGCAGCGCTGGGCTCTGGACATTTGGGCCACCAGTGTGGCAGTTCTGCCCGAGACAGCGTGAGGGCCACCTCACCAGAGTGACCACTGCAGCCCTTTGTAGGCCCATGGGATCGGCAGGTCCGAGGGGACTGTGCAGGGGACGCGCTAACCCGGGAGCTCCTTTGGTCTGCATTTTGATGACAGGTGATAAAATACTGGGCTGTTGACTATTTTTCTATCCAAAACATGTCATGACTTTCCTGAGACCTAATACCAGGTACGTTTGTAGGACTGAGTTATGGGAGGGTCATGGCTTTAAAATGACTCAGAGCTATTGTGCTGGGAGGGGGCATGGAGGCCGTGGCGCTGGGGCCCACATAGCCGGCTCCACAGTTTGGAGTCCCACACCCAACAGCTTGAAAAACACCAGGGGACCAGCAGTTGGCGTAATGGCTATGCCGCTGAACTCCCATGTAGTTGACTGTGGTTCGAGTCCCGGACCCGGTGGCTTAAACACACGCCAGACGCATGTGCGTGCCTGCCCAAGATCCCGAGAGGAGAATGGAGGAGAAGGGATTGTGGCGTGGCCATCCCCCCTGGGGGGTGATTTCTCGCTTTCTGTCTCTCTGTCTCTTCTCTGTCCTTCTGGCGAGTGCACGCGCCCTATAGCAAAAAACCTCTCCCCCCAAAAACACACACACACACACACCAGGCACATGTGTGTGTGCCCAAAAGCCAGGAGACTGGAGGAGAAGGGACTGCAGTGTTGCCATCCCCCTGGGGGTGATTTCTCACTCACTCACTCACTCTCTCTCTCTGCGAGTCCACCCACCGTACAGCTAAAAGCTTAGAAAGAATAGAGACCCGGGACTGTCACCCTGCCTGTACTCAAACAGCGAGGTGACCACTAGGTTGTCTCAACCATCCGACCTGGTCTCTTTTTTTTAATATAATTATTTATTTTATCTTATTTATTTATTCATTCATTTTATTTTAATTTGACCAGAAAGAGACACACAGAGAGAGAGAGGGAAAGTTAGAAAGCAAGCCACCAGGTCCGGGACTTGAACCATGGTTGGCCATGTGGGAGCGTCCAGCACCCTGGCCACCATGCCACCTGCTGGTCCCTGGTCTCTTCATTTTGAAAATAGTAGAGTGACTTGCCTGACCACATAGTGGCGAAGTAGGGCGCCACCCCAGCCTCCTGACCACGGTTAGTGTCCCCAGGTACACCCACACAAGGGCTGTCTGTATTTTTCCCATAGAGCTGGAACGCCAGTTGGAAGAGCAGAAGAAGCAAGCTCAGGACCACAGGCTGAGACCCCAGACAGTCCACAATGTGGTGCTGATGCCCGTGAGCTCCCCGAAGCCCCCGAAGAGGCCCCGGCTCCAGCGGCCGGCCTCCACCACCGTGCTGAGCCCGTCCCCCCCTGTCCAGCCGCCTCAGTTCACAGTCATCTCGCCCATCACCATCACCCCTGTGGGCCAGTCCTTCTCCATGGGGAATATCCCAGTGGCCACCCTCAGCCAGGGCTCCAGCCCTGTGACTGTCCACACCCTGCCCTCTGGCCCTCAGCTCTTCCGCTATGCCACTGTGGTCTCCTCTGCCAAGAGCAGCTCTCCAGACACCGTGACCATCCACCCCTCCTCCAGCCTGGCGCTGCTGAGCTCCACCGCCATGCAGGAGGGCGGCGCCCTGGGCAACGTGGCCACCATGGTGAGCCCCGTGGAGCTGGTGGCCATGGAGTCCGGCCTGACCTCTGCCATCCAGGCTGTCGAAAGCACTTCTGAGGATGGGCAGACCGTCATCGAGATTGACCCGGCTCCAGACCCGGAGGCCGAAGACGCAGAGGGCAAAGCAGTCATCCTGGAGACAGAGCTGAGGACTGAGGAGAAGGCCGCGGCGGACGTGGAGGGGCACCCGCACCAGGTGCACAACGTGGAGATCGTGGTCCTGGAGGACTGAGCCGGGGCCAGGGCTGAGCTGGGATTTTACTTGTTTGTTTATTTTCATCGTCCCACTCATGTTCACATAGGATCCCCTCCTTTTTTTTTTTTTAAACAAAATCTCACTGTTGTAACGGCAGGTTTTCGGTTCTTCCACCACTCATTGAAAACCGGACAAAGCAAGCTGCCTTCTGATGCCGAGCGGGGCCCTCAGTACCCTCGCCTTGTGCCCGGACGGTTCTGCTTTCGGGAGGTGTCGGAGAACCAGGAGCCCTGCCCAGCGCTCCTTCCGGGCTAATCGGTCTGCACGTGGTTTTATTCTTGCCAAGAGGCGTTGGCGGACCCGGACCGCAGACCTGGCTCTGGGAGGCAGCTGTGGCGGTGGGGGCTTCACTGTGTCCTGGAAAGGCGCGGAGGCCGCTAGGCTGAACAGAGGACGCTGGACTCTGAGAAGGGGAGGTGGCTGCCCACTCGCCTAGAGAGGGAGGCGGAGGCACCTCGGCAAGAGGGGCACAGGACTGGTCTCGTCTGCAGGTGCCACCGAGAGCTCTGCGGGTACCTCCGGGGCACCTTGGAGGGAGGCTGCTGCCTGTTGGATGCCTCTCCGTAGAGCCCGTGGCAGTGGCCGGTGGCTTGGGCCGGCCGGACACCAGGATGCCAGGCTGCGCTCTGGCGTTCGAGTGAGAGCTCACCCGCACTCCAGAGTGGGACGGCGGGGTGTGGCTGCACTGGTCCTTGGACTGCTGTCCTGGGGTGGGCCCAAGGCTGTCACTTCATCACGGGGCCCCAGGGAGACCGCTGTGCTTTAGTTGGGCTCTCCTTTAGCCCCAGCCGAGCCGCGCCTCCCCCGTGCTTTTCGTGCTTCTCGCCCGTCCCCCGCCTGTCCGCCCCGCTTCCCGCTCAGAGTCCCCGCTGCAGCTTCCCGGCTCAGGAGCGGTGACAGGTGCCTGCCCCCACGCTCTCAGGCCCGTGGGCATCATGACGCAGCTGTTTCTGCAGATGCCGCGCAGGCTTGGCGGGGGCAGCACACCCCAGCTTTCCTGAGGCACCACCTCCCGGGGAGGGGGCAGGCCGTGGGCGGGGCCCGGGGTGGGTACAACGTTGTGTTTGGCTTTCTTTCCGTTTTTTTAAATGTGGTTTGTCGTTTAGCGCTGGGCCATTTTCTGTGCGATTCCTGCTCTCAGACCCTCTGCCCTGGGGCAAGAGCAGGCCCTGGATTTTTTTTCTTTAACTGCATCATCGACTTCTCTAAGACAAACTTAGGGGAGCTGAAGACTGTCTAAAGGAGAAATAGGTCAAAAAGAAAGCACACACCTTAGGAGTGGGAGAATTTTTTTAATTAAAAACAAAACTTTGGCCTGCCATGGTTAGTGTGTTACGGGAAGCACTCCCACTCACGGGAAGCCGTTTTTCTCCCAGCACGCGTTGGGAGCCCTCGGAAGCAAGTGAGAATCGCACCCTGCCATCCTCCAGTGGCTGAATATACCAGAGAAGCCCTCTCGGAGGGCCCCCTTGAAGGCCTTAAGAGAGAGATTTCTGAACCCCTAGTGGTTGTGGGTTTCAGCTTTGAAGTCTGCTTTTGTCTCCCCAGTATTGAATAGACTGCACAGTCTGCTAAACAAGGTGTCGGCCCTCTGCTACGTCTGTCCTGAGGGCAGCGGCCGGCAGTGCTGCTCACTTGGGTTTTCTGCTGGAACCTGGAGCAGCACACCCCATCTCCGCGGAGGCTTTAGGGGCACTTTCCTCTTGAACTGGTTCAGGATGGGAGGGGTGCCCCCGAGGGTGCTGAGCTGCCAGCTGGGGTTCCTGCCCTTCCCAGGGAGGCATTGGGGAAGCGACCCCACAGAGCCTGTCCGTGCACCACATGGGCTGGCCGGTGAAGGGCCCAAGCCGGGTGTTTTCCTGTTGCTCCCAGTGGCCTGGAGCAGTGCACTGTGCGGCGCCACGCCACGCCCACAGTCCAAGTGCGTCAGCATGCAGCCACCGTGGGCCACGCTAGGGCTGCCTGGCGTGGCCACTCTGCCTCTGGTCTGTTAGACAGTCCGTGAGGGCGAGCCATGGTCAAAGCCAGAGGGCGAGGAAGCCGCATTCTCGTGTGTTTACTCTAAGGTTGAAAAGCTCATCCTGAGACCGGGCCGGTAGGGTCAGTGGGCCCTGAAGCTCAGGAAGCCTGGAGGGCCCCAGTGAGACCAGCTCGGCAAGTGGACCACAGGCTCTCACTGGGGGTGGCAGGCCTCTAACCCAGCTCGGGGAGGGGTGGGCTCAGCAAGCCAGGCGTACTTCCTGGAGGAGGCATGCTTGCACTTTTTGACTTGTGTTATCGTACACCTTCGATGTTAAGTCGCAGGGCTTACTTACACAAGAGAGAAGCCAAAAAGAACGGCTGCTGCTTCTGCCTCCAGAGCCAGGTGCCTCCCGCCCGTGTCCCTGGAGAGAGCCGCGTCACAGCAGGTGGACCCCTCACTGTGTGGTTCCCATGAGCCTGAGCGAGCCAGCTCCCTGCCTGCTCCTGCCTCACTCTCTGCCCCCTACCCCTAAACTCCAGTCATTCTGATGTTGGAGTGGCCCAGGGACACCAGTGAACAAGACTGCAGGACGCTTCCCGTGAGGCTCACCTGCCCTGTCCACGGTAGGGAGGAAGAGCAACGTTTTTCTTTTTTTTAAAGAGAATTATTTTAGGGACCAGCAGGTGGCGTGATGGCTGTCACTGGACTCCCACGTAGTCGACCGCGGTTTGAGTTCCAGACCCAGCGGCTTAAACTCACGCCGTGCACATGTGCGTCCCAGCCCAAGATCCCGAGAGGAGAATGGAAGAGAAGGGATTGCGGCGTGGCCATTCGCCCTGGAGGGTGATTTCTCACTTTCTGTCTCTTTCCGTCTGGCGAGCGCATGCGCCCTATAGCAAAAACCTCCAAAAAAACATTTTTTTTTACTTGACTTTATATTTAACCAGGGAGGGACAGAGTGAGCGGGGAGAGAAAGCTGCTAGATCCGGGTCTCAAACCACGGTCAGCCACGTGGGAGTCTGGCGCCCTTAACCACCACACCACCTGCTGGCCCGGGAGGATCAGGGTTAACCCAGGTATCTTGGAGGCCTCTCGTCAGTGCAGGGTCTGCCACGCTGCAGCGGTGCTTTTTACCTGGTTTCCCGACAGGCTCTGATGCTAGGTCCAGTGGTGAGGAGTCCTGGCTGCAAAGGCTGTAACTCCAGGCATGCAGAGGGAGTGGCTCTCACTGAGCTCGGACTGACGAGGTCTTAGTGCCAGCAGGTGGGAGAGACAAAGGGAAGTTGAATTCTGAAAGTAAGACCGAGGTCGGGATCCACGGGCAGTACGCCTGCGGAAAGCCTGTGTCCGAGACGGCAGGCCCCGATGTGGCTGTGCGCTTCCAGACCACCCTCCTGCCTGTGCAGCCCTCTTCCTGGGTCCCGGGGACAGGCAGACCCTGGGAAAGTCCTGTGTACAAGGTTGTCAGGGACCCCAAGGGATTGGGCTTGTCATTTCTTCCATGATTAGAGACAGAGACAGGCACGGGACCCCCAATGGGGTCTTGACACCAAGCTGTGTGCCGCTGCGGCCCCCGGAAACCCGGAGGACATGGTAAGTCTGGATGGGAAGCCCGTCGCCAGCCTTCCAGAGCAGCGCACAGTGTGGCCGCAGCGCACGCAGTGTGGCCGCACCGCCCCAGGCCCGGGTTTGGATCCCGCTCTGGAACTTCTACTCTTAGGCAGCCCTACTGAGTCTTTCCCAGGTTTCCTTCTCAACCCAAGGAGGGCTTTCTGTTTTTCTTTTTTTCTTTTTTTTTAGAAATATTTATTTAATTCTATTTGTTATTATATTTTAATTTGACCAGAGAGAGAGAGGGAAAGTGAGAAAGTAAGTCGCCAGGTCTGGGACTCGAACTGCAGTCCGTGTGGGGATCCAGCGCCTTCAACCACTATGCGAAAGGGCTTTCTTAACCCTGAGTCAGCAACTGCATTTCCACCAGGACTTTTCACTCGTTCTTGATTCACCCGCACGCAGCCTGCCCTCCCCAGCTCTGGCCAGGGACCAGGGTTTCGTTCCGATTCTGCCTCTGCAGTAACTTTCAACTCTTGAGACGATTATTTCTTTTTTTTTAAGAGATTTTTTTGCTATAGGGCACATGCACGCAGCAGAGACAAGAAGCAAGAAATCACCTCCAGGGGGGATGGCCACGCCGCAGTCCTCCATTCTCCTCTTGGGATCTTGGGCACGCACACACGTGTCTGGCTTGAGTTTTAAACTGCCGGATCTGGGGCTTTAACCACTGCCAACTATGTGGGAGTCCAGCGACGTAACCATTACGCCATCTGCTGGTCCCCGAGACAAATATTTCTTCCCAACTCAGCACCCAGACCTGAGCACGTGTGCATAGACTGGTCCCCACTAGTGAAGCAACCTTGGTGAGGCCTCCGACCATGCGCCTCGCTGAGCCCCCCTTGCTGTGCTGGGCAGTGACTGGTCAGCTCCCCATCGGCTGTGCAGACCTCTGACAGTTGACTCATCCCCAGGTCCATGGCCCAAGGTTCCTGGGTAAATTGCTGCGGCCCCGCTGAGTCCTGCCTCTTCAGAGCCACCTGTGCTGTCGCTGCGGAGCCCCTGGCTCCAACATAGACCACTCCCGGGCTGGTTTGAGACTCTGCTCCTGGCAGGCAGGACTCGGGGTACGCCGGACCTGGGTTTACTTTCTGGCCGGCAAACTGGGTCAGGCTGCAGAGGAGCGTGGAGGTGGGCTGGGTACAGACGCAGAGGGAAAGACGGCCCATCCGGAAACTTACCTGCATTTGAGGTGTCCATGTTTGCCTTTTCTCCCCTCTTGGCTGTTTTCTGTAAAAAGGTCTATATGTTACCCATAAACTGGACCGACGGCCCTTTCTGGCCTGGGCACTGGCCCACAGTGGCCCCTCCCACAATGCACTGCGGTATGGTTCTCCTCACCCTGAGCGGGTGCTGTTCGCATCGCCTCCCCTGAAGGAGCTCCTGCACGCCATGCCCTGGTAGTGTCTAGCACACGCAGAGCAGCAGCTGGGGCTCTGCAGCAGCTCCTCTGGAGAGGGGCAAGGAGACTCTGCAAGAGGCATGTCCTCGTGGGGAGGCCGTCACCACCAGAAAGGCTGGCCTGTGTTTTTGTTTTATTTTTATTTTGAAGGTTTTTGCCATGGGACACGTGCACTTGCTGGAGAGATGGAGCCGGAAAGTGAGAAATCACCCCTCAAGGGGGATGGCCACTCCTCTGTGCCTTCTCCCATTCTCCTCTTGGGATTTTGAGCACACATGCGCACGCACCCAGTGTGGATTTTCAAGCCCCAGGATCTAGTACTCAACCAGAATCGACTGTGTGGAAATCCAGCACCGTAACCACAATGCCACCTGCTGGCCCCAGTCTTGGTTTTGTTTTTATTGTGCACACAAACCAGAACTGTACAACTTGATGCATTTAATAAGATGGTCACGCCCATGAAACATCCCAGACCGAGAAAACTTGGCAGCACCTCACCTGCAAGGACAGCCATCAAGCCCCCCAGCATGAGCGTGCTCTGCCTGAGCCCCGAGACTGGCTACCCGCTCCACACTGAGCCCCTGGCATGAGCGTGCTCTGCCCGAGTCCCAAGATTGGCTTCCCGCTCCACACTGAGCCCCCGGCACGAGTGTGCTTTCCTGCTCCACACTGAGCCCCCGGCGCTGTCGGTCTCATTGCAGAGCACAGGCTGGGGCTGGGGCTGTGTCGCACTGGGAGGTCCCCAAGGGGCACCTGGAGGGGCTCCTGCTTGAGGCTGTTATGGGCGTTCTGTGGGTGTTCTTACACGGATCTTTGATAAATGCATACACCCTCTGCATGTATTCCTGCGGGGTTTCAAAGGGTAGCACAGTTCACGTGGGAAATCCAGGGTACAGCTTTTCGTAGACACAATAGCAAGAACCCAGGTCTGATGATGGCCCCACGTTTCCTCATGGTGACACCCGATGAGCTGAGGCATATCTAGATGAAGCTTGGCATCTTCCTCAGCCGGCCATGTCCTGTTGCAAACCAAGACCTACTTGTTTTGGTAGTTTAGTTTTTTGATCCATAATAACCTCTGTCTCTTTTTAACAGAGATTTTTGCTATTAGGGTGTGTGCGCTCGCCAGAGAGACAGAAAGTGAGAAATCACCCTCCAGAGGGGATGGCAATGTCACAATCCCTTCTTCATTCTCTTCTTGGGGTCTTTTTTATTTTTAATTTACCCAACTCTATTCATTTATTCATTTTAATTTGACCAGAGAGAGAGAGAAAGAGGGAGGGAAAGCAAGAAAGGAAGCCACCAGGTTCGGGACTCAAACTGCAGTAGACCACATGGGACTCCA